AAGTACCAGCAAAGGAAGGGAAAAAAACTCCAGAGAAGTTCCTGAGACAGGAAGTCTAGTCCTGCCAAGAATGTAATAAGGGTTAATGGAGAGGCAGTTTCTGTAAGCAACACCGGAATGTTTTCTTCCTGCCTTCCTTACAGGATTACAGTAATTTCTTGTAACAATCGGTTCTCCGAACTGCTTAGAATGTTAACAACCGGTTCTAGAGAATAGGTGCGAACTGGTAGAATCCTACCCCTGTCTATAGGCATTTGAATGCCTTAGAGTGTTTTATCCAGGAATCTTCCTTCTTAACCTATTTTCATCTGGCTGATCAGTGAGTACAATGAATCCTTCCAATGCTCAAATGAGAGCAGGGCATCCTGCTGTTGAAATTGGAACTTCAGAAGATATGTCCTACAAGACATTAAAAACTAAAGGTAGGCAGTAAGGCAAGATAATGCGTCCTTATACTATCAACTGATGGAAAGTTTGTTTAATGAAGATGAGTGTTATAACACTGTTTGCAGGAAAGCATTGTGGCCAGAGTTTTGTAAGTTAGTCAGCATTCAAGTAGTCTAATGACAGATGAGTCAAATGAAGGCAGAGAAATAGATTGATGTGTATGATGCTTTCCTTCTCTGTTGTGTCTTTTGTTATTTTATTTCCTTTTTGCGCACGTTTTATTAGGACTATACTTTATAAATGAAATTCATTGTTAGTTTTTAGTAATTGAGATTTTAAAAGAAGGACTCATAATATTCCATGTATTCAGAGTATGAAAAAAGAATGAATATGGTTACTTTACTCTGTGATGGCATAGTAATAGTAAATAAATTATTTTGTTTAATTAAGATTCATATTGGTTTCTTCAGAATATTTATGGGCTGCTGTTTAAAGTTCAAAGAATTGGGTCACTGGCACTAGTGTACACTGAACCCAGAATTTTCATTTATGTCTGATAAATAAAGGTTTAGAAAGTTGAGTTGCAATGCCTTATTCTTTAATATTAGCATACATTTTCTTTTCTTTTACATTGATAAAATATGCAGTGCTATTTAGCCATGAAAGACAATATCATTGCAGTTTAAACAGTGTACTGTTATATATACTGCTTCACTTCATTTATAAACATTCACCACAGTACTAAATTAATCCCTTTCTGTGCTCATGCTAATATTCTTGACCTAAATTCTTTAAAAGGAAATGTGATTAAGAGAAGAGGATTAGGATTTATGGCAAAAGTTTTATATAAGGTATCATATAGGAAGAATTGTTAAAACTTTTCAAAAGACCTTGTATGACATTTAATAGTGAATTCAGTTTTAAATTAGCATTATCCTTGAAAGCATATTTTGATTTATTTTGCTATAATATGATTTTCTATTTAATTTTTCTACTTTCAGAGCTTTTTCCTTTGTGGTTATGAAAATTGCATCCTTTAAAATTATAGCTATTAAATTTTTATCAATCTTCAGTGGTCTAGAACAACATATAATTGGTTCATCATCTGGCCTGGATAAGTACAGGAAATTGCGTATTTAATGCTTGTTGTAATAGTGCCACAAATAAAATGTGCAATGAAGAAGGCCAACACTTGTATGTCTTGCTGAATGAATTGTTTTTAATCACAGGATATCTGTTTTTATGATTAATAGGTTGATGCTTTAATAGTAGTACAGTTGCTATGATGAGCTTTTTAGATCTAGAAGGCCATTCTTGGAAGAAGAAAAAAAAGAGGAAAAAGAGCCATAGCTTAATAGTAGAATATATCCGTTGTGTTCAGAAAATTTCAACTTTAGTTTTTCCTATATCCAAATAGAGCTTCAGCAAGACATCCTAATGAATCATTATTTGGCAATTTCATTGATAAACTGTGGAGAAAGTGGACCAAGTTTGCAAGCATTTACCAATAACATGCAAAAAAGTCTGAAAGTGAGCTGATGATCAGGCAACACAGAAATATTGTGAAAGTTAACTAATTTGACAAATCTACTTTTCAATCATGGGAACACCCCTTGATAGCTTTATGATAGTAGATTTATACTTGTATTCAGTTTTTTATTCTTATTCTGAAGTTTTCTTGTGCAACCTATAGACACATTTATTTATTCATTCATTCATTCATTCATTCGAGTACTTAGGCATTTGTTTATTTATGAAAATGTATATGGCCGTCCAACTCACCCTCAGTGACTCCCAAGTGGCTTACGAAGATAAAAGCCAATATAAAAATAATTTTAAAAAGTAATAACTTCCCATCCATGCTAAAATGCCTCTGCCTCTGTTTCTCGTGGAAAGGTTTCATTTTCTGGCACTATTCCTACATAACATCTTTTCTATAAAAATGGACACTTTTTGCCATGATTCCTAGCCTGTAACCAAAATGCGAGATAGATTTTAAAATGCTGTTGTCTGGAACTATACTGATATAAGCAAGAGATGTAGCTGGTATATATGATGCAGTGTAGGGGTTTCATAAGGTCCAGGATTTCACTGGCTCCATGTTGGTTTCTCATCCCAGTTCAAAGAGATAGTGGAATCAAGTTCTGGCAGGAATGCCAGTCCCATAGTATATACTGTGCATCAGTGTTTCTCAATCTTGTGACTTAAAGAGGTGTGGACTTCAACTCCCAGAATTCCCCAGCCAGCATGGGAGAATTCTGGGAGTTGAAGTCCACACCTCTTCAAGTCACCAAGGTTGAGAAACATTGATGTATAGATATATCACATCAGCTAAGGAAAATACTTTCTTAACTCGGCCAGTACAGTTATATATCTTCATTCCTAAGTGATAAAAGCATCTTCTAGATACCAGACCAAAAAACAACCCCACCATTTTTATTGATCTTGACATTGACTTTTAAGTTGTGAGGAGATCAATAAAGAACTATAATTCTGCAGTCTGAGAAGAGGTGGTATGAAAGATTAAATTAAACTTTAAGCAAAAAAAATTGGCATTAGCTAGATAAACATTTGTTATTCAAAATCAAATGTTGTTCAAAGTTTTACAACACAGGATTAGCTGAAATGACATAGCACAATCTTACTTAATTTCTGTGGAACATGGAACTGACACAGCACCCCTTATTTTGGGGGAGCATTATGGTCAGTGGGATTGTGTCTGGTTAAGAGAGATAAATTCATCTTCAGTCTTCCTCTCTATTTTTTTTTTTACTGCTTAAAAATTTTCAAGTAAGCCTGAAGAAGTGCCTGTAGCATAAATAAGCAGAAGATAATGCTATTTATTAGGACTATGAGAAAAAGGTAAAGAAATAGTGCATCAGATAAGAATGCCATCTTTGAACCATATGTTTCCAGCAAGTATTTGACACAGGACTTGTCTGACATATGTTTACTGTAAGGTAATCTATGATGTAACCCTAACAAAGATAACCATTGTAAAAGAAAATAGGTTGTGCTTTTATTCTGATAATAGCTCTTATTGGAAAATAACAGTGTATGTTGTTGCTGATTTTATAAATAAATGTTTTCAACTTTATTTAAATAGGATAAGGAATTGAGCAAAGAGGTCATAAAGTTTCAAAGGATGATGTGACCAGGGGAGGTCTTTTGGTATAGTAGTATAATTTTTATTTTTCTTCAACAGAAGGAATGTATTTATACTGATTCAGAGCTGTACTGTATTGGGAAGATGGGAAAAATTGGGTGTTGCTTAGCAGGAGCAATAAATGTTGCACCATTTACTTTTACACGCTGCACAAACATAGACTGAACCCAGAAACTATTTTTTAAAATGTGTTTTGAGAAGCTATAATAAACAGCAAAAATATATCAGCTGGTAGCAATTTTACTTAAAACAAACATAAGCAAAAAAAGGGAAAATGGAAGAATTTACCAAAAATCCTTTGGTTTTGCACAGATTTAAGAAATTTTATATAATAATTTTGGAATTAGAACTCAGATTTTCCTCTTCTAGTCCAGCACCTTAACCACTAAACAAAACCTATAATTCACTGTCAGCCACTGATGGGGGAAAAATTATAATCCAGAACATTTGGACATTGTCTTATCAAGGATAAAGTGTTCCATCTTTAGTTAGTTCCACCTTAGCATCCTTCATTTATGGTTGTGATTATCTTGTTCTTCAGTGTCTGCTTATTTGCTTGAAGTAGTTTTAAAAATTAAGTTCAAAGGTCTTTATGCAGAAAATGATTTAAAATAAAATTAAATAAAATTAAAGTAGACTAAATAACTTTATGGCAATAGGTGTGGTAAAGTTGTCAAAACTGTCATATGTGATGAATTGGACAATCAGGATATATGAATTGAATATATGAATGAATGACTTTACTGAAAGCCAGCAATTCTGAAGGAAGAAAGGATGCTTTTTCATATACCGAGAATGTCTGTGTTTTGTGTGAACTGTGAAAAGCGAGACTGTCTTTGTCTCCATTAACAGTATTTTAGTCTGAAAGGTGAGGCAGCCTCCAATGTCCACCTAAAGGCCGTGTTTTCTTGTTTTGTAGGAACTCTCATTCAGCTGCACATCAAGGTAGATCTCTTCAGACTTGAGAGCATTATGACACTCTCATAAGATTTTGCTTATTAGGTTTGCTTATGCTTGTGCCAAGAAAAAAAAAATCCAACATCCTATCAACAGATTCCATTAACATTGCTTTTTGTTTGTCTGTGTCAAAGCCTCCTTTATGCCACAAAGGCAGGCTTTTTTTTCAGCGCCTTTCACTTTATCCTGCCTGCATGTTTGCTTTTGTGATGTCTCGAAATCTTTTAGTATCAAGATTTCTTCCAAATAAAGTTGAGAACATGATATTCTGCTCCAGAAATCATGCTGCAAAAAAAAAAAAAAAGAGCCTAATAGTTTCTCAGGAGCTCTGGAAAAAAAAAAAGCAGAGGTATTCTTGCTTCCTTAGATAGGAGAGCTCTGCGAACTTTGCAAAAGTTGTTTGTTTTGGTTTGACTTGCTCTTGGGGGAGAAAAAAAAATTGCCATGTAATACCTTGCTTTTTCCCCCCTCATTTGTTATGTGTGCTCAGGAGTTCAGACTCTGAAGAAGCATTTGAAACACCAGAATCCACAACTCCTGTAAAGGCTGCACCTTCGCTACCACAACTACCGCCTGAAATTGTAGCATTCGACATAGAGGAACAAGAAATAGCACCTCAGCTTCCATCAGAAATCCCAGGTAACAATTGTACAAGGAATAGGATGGGCCACTCTGCACATGCACAGTTTGAGTACTTGGCAAACCCCAGAACAGACTGCTAATCCCAAGAGGAAATATTATGATTATTAGACTTGGAGGATAATGGTGATAAATGTAATGTTTATAAGGTTTGATATTAATTGATTATATGATAAAGCTGAGGCTTTTGTATTCCTGGGGAATGTTGGTAGCTTGGTAGTAGAACAGGTGCTTTGCAGGCCAAGGCTTTTGGTTTAATCATTAGGAATAATTCTGATCAAGAACTTGCAAAGTGATTGTTAGTTAACCATCAAGCTTTATTGTAAAGCAACTTTATATATTAGGCTAAAATTACAGATCATCTCATTATCCGTAAGTGCCTGTTTAAACAGTTTTAAATTAAATATTTCAGTTTTGAGAACTTCTGATTCCTCTAGATCAGGGTGGGGTCATACTCACAGCATCACAGTGGTGTATTGTGACTTTATTCCCCTTCACTAAACGGAGTGGGTGTGGTCAACATGTGATGCATCCAGCTTGCGGGCCACGAGTTTGACAGCCCTGCTCTAGATGGAATCTACAGCTAACAAAAATTTAAAAGAAAATAACATATATATATATAAAAGGGAATATAGCTAGTTCTCAGTTTACAACCAAAATAGAGCTCCAAATTTTTGTTACTAAGCAAGACATTTGTTAAGTGAATTTTGCCCCATTTTATGTCCTTTTCTGCCACGGTTGTTAAGTGAATCACTATATTTGTTAAATTAGTGACACAGTTGTTAAGTGAATCTGGCTTCCCCATTGACTTTGTTTGTCAGAAAGTCACAAAAGGGCTTCACATGACCCCGGGCGCCTGCAACGATCATAAATATGAATCCATTGCCAAGGGTCTGAATTTTGATCACATGACCATGGAGATGCTGCAAGAATTGTTAGTGTGAAAAACGGTCATAAGTTATTTTTTCCAGTGACTTGAACACTAAACAAACTGTTGTAACTCAATGACTACCTGTACCACTGATCAAACAGTTAAGCCTGTTGTATGGTATTATTTTGTATTTCACACAAGTAAATGAATAGTGAAGATGAGAATTGTATCCAAGCTGACCTTCTTAATAACTAGAAATTTTTCTTATATTTTTTAACTTCTTGTATCTGATGGTGATTTACTAATAGGATTCAGTGTTTGAGAATCAGTTTTTACTTCTCTCACCAATAGAGACTAAATGTTATACTACTTTTCTAACCTGTCTAGCTGATATGGTGTACCTCAGGGGTACACAGAATAGAAACCTGCCCTTTCTCCAAAGTGCTGAATGCAATTGCTGGAACCCTTTGAAAAATTGTTACTATAATTGTGTTGTTTGTAGTCAATTTAAATACAACTGGAGCCCATTAATGATGAGCCACAGTGACGCAGTGGTAAAAGTGCAGTATTGCAGGCTACTTTTGTTGACTGCTGACTGTCTGCAATTCAGCAGTTGGAATCTCACCAGGCTCAAGGTTGACTCAGCCTTCTATTCCTTCCGAGGTGGGTAAAATGAAGACCCAGATTGTTGGGGGCAAGAAGCTGACTCTGTAAACTGTTTAGAGGGGGCTGTAAAGCAGTCTAAGTGCTAGTACTAGTGCTATTAAACCACGCTTAGCTTTTGTCCAGACCCCAGTCACTTCTTTATTTTTTTGCATTTTTCAGATTCCGGTCCCAGAACACCTGACAAAGGCCAAGAAAGCTCCGAGCCTCCAAGTAAGTTGGATAGGAATGCTATAAAGTATTAGCCCATCATTAGTTCCCCAACTTCCCCTAACCCACCCATCCCACATATGTATCTGTGTTTATGTTTGTGTACACAGAGAGAAATGGAAGCTTAAGACTCAGTTTATGCATCTTTGCTTAGAATGAATCTCAGCTTCTGTTCGAATTCAGAGGTTTGAGATCAAGCAAGTTGCAAAGTAGTCTAAATAAATACATGTGCTTGGTTAATCTTCTGGCAGCCTGTAATGTTAGAATATCATGCCTGCTTTTCTGCTTTGATACCTCGTGCAGTGTATGCAAAGTTAATACAATAAGAGGTGAAGAATCTATAATTCTGTGATGAATCAGAAGTACCCCTTCCAAAAAAATCACAATTAAACGTATATAAAGTAAAAAAAAGTAATAGTCCTTGAATTATGACCACAACTGAGCCCAGAATTGAGCTAGAAATTTGTTAAATAAGTTTTGTCCCATTTTACTACTTTTCTTGCCACATTTGTTAAGTGAATCAGAGAGGTTGTTAATTAATCACATGGTTGTTAAGGGAATCAGATTTCCCTATTGACATCGCTTGTCAGAAAGTCACAAAAGGGAATCACATGACCAAAGGCCACACCACTGCAACCATCATAAATATGAACCAGTTGTCAAGCATCCAAATGTAAATCACGTGACCATGAGGATGCTACAATGGCCATAAGTGCTGTTGTAACTTTGAACGGTCACTAAACAAACCATTGTAAGTTGAGGAGTACCTGTATCCTTATTGTACATACTCCATTATGGGCACTTCTCAATACTCTGAATTCTTAGCATTTGGTTTGCAAATTGGGGAACTTTTTGAGTGAATATTCATACACCTGGAGAGCACCTAGTCCAGGGGTGTCAAACTTCCAGCCCATGGGTTGGATGTGTCACGCACTAGCCACGCCCATGCCCAGTTTAGCGGAGGGAGGGAAAGTCCCGATATGTCACATGATGCCTCCATGACAACATGAGTTTGACACCCCAGACCTAGACAGTCTTTTAAAGAGCAAAGATACCAGGGCATCATTTCAAAAACATCTGTAATTACTTGGTTACAGCTTTTTTGAATATCAGTAAATGTTCTTCACCATTTCATATTTTTCTGCAAAAAAGTGTCTGCACGATCATTATGCTTCCAGCAAACACAAGTATGTGAAGAAACCTTTTATTTGGCACCCAACTGCATAGAGAAATCAGGATTTTGTTCTAGATGTGTGAATACCCTGTTTGTCTTTCACTATTATCTTTCTACATTTATTTTAAATCTGTACAGAACAACGATCTTTTCGCATGTATTTTCATATGTAGTTGAAAAGGAAATTAATTTTCCAGCTTGATAAATAAATCTAAAGATAAAATCATTTATGTTAAATAGGATTTAAAGAGAGGCCTTTAATTACAAAATTAAATTGCAACTCATTCTGAACTCCCAGTTATTCACCTTTATTCCTGTTTATTTCTCTCCCTTTCTGTTATCCTTTTTCTTCCATTTCTTCTAATGTTTTAGGTAGTAAAAAGTACTAAATGCACAATTGTCCAAAGTGAAAAGAAAGATTACCTTTCTTTTTATATCAGCTTTCCATATCAACTAAGTTAGTTGAGTTTCTGAATGAAAGACAGGATATAAATGTAATAAACACTTCCCATTTATGTATGATTTATATCCATGGTTATTTCGTTATGTTCTACATGTATTTATACTCCAACCCTAAAAGATTTCTGGTATGATACTATCCAAAGCCCTGTAAGGCAAAGCTATGCCAGACTTAATGTAACAGAAAAACTCCAGTCTGTGTGATTAAATGTCATGAATAGTAAAACTCCCTGGGAAGGCTGCTTTGAAGTAAAAGGGCAACATTCCTTTCATTTCTGACCAGTTTTTAGTGTCAAGAGGGCAGGATTAGAAAAAAACCTCTCTAGACATAAAGCTGCATTGTCTACTATTCAACGTTTCCTGGAATGGTTTTTCCACTTGATTGTTCTGTTTTCTTTAATACATTGAACAGGGTTCTTAGGGTAGCTTGTGTATGCACTTTTGAAGTTAGAGTATAAAAACAAGGAAAAAAGTCTGTACTGGGAATTATTCTATGTTGTTTATTCTAGTAAATTAACTCTAGCAAAATCAGGTATTTGAATTTTTCTAATGGTGATAATGTGCTGAGTTCATTAGAAAAATAATGTATTGGAACAAATTCTTTGTAGGAACTTAATATTTAAAAAATCAGAACATTTAAGTGTGGAATTGGATGAACCTGTTGCCCAATGTTAATACCTTATCTGGTTTATGGCACAATATGTTTTTATTTTATTGGTTTTATTTTTAATCAATCATTTTATTTTAGTTTTTACCTCGATTAGAGGTATTTAGTCATTGAGAGTTCCCCAGAACAATGGGCATTCACATACATTGATAAAATAAGTAAATAAATAGTCATAAAATGTGGGACTTGTCTAGAAGCAAATCTGAATTTGTGAAAAAGGATTCCCAATAGAGGATATATACCTGTTGGGCACATGAATCAAACAAACAGCTGCTAACCCAAATATATCAGTATGGTAGCCCAATATATAAAACTAACAATGCCAAATTATCATACCAGTATATTATTTTGAAGAAAGTTTGGTGATACTACATTGGAAAAGTAATAACTGATGAAGAAAAAGTCACCTTCTGTTCCTGGAGATTACATGTTTGTCACTGCCTTCTTTTAAGATATTTTTTTAATAACTCTATTTAGTCACTAGCTCTAAGATCTGGTGGTCTCTTATTCAAGCACCAATCAGAACTCAGCCTGATAGGGGTTGTTGTTGTTTTTAGATCAGGGAAGATAAGCTAGATATTGCCACCTTCTTGGTGTATCCCATCTTTTCTCATCTTTAGAGAAAGGTCAGTATATGAGAAATAACTGGAGAGTTTCCTAAAGAACAAGGGGCAATTAGTAAAGTCATAAAGCTCAATCTATCAAAATAAGATTAAAAAGAAAGCGTAGAGGGCTTGAATGTTCTGCTGCCAGATTGTAACTTAGATGTAATTTGGTCTTAAATAAAGCCCCCATATCAAAAAATTAAAAAGTTGACACTCTTAACACTGGTTTTTATAAAGAAAATTGGGATCCACGAAATTAGATAATTCACTTATCTTAATGTTCTATGCCAGATGAATCACTGGCCTAGTGAAAATGCTGATGTAGAGGGATAATTCTAGCTAATAATGACATCATATGGAGTGCAAAGAAAGCTGGATGGACAACGTTACATGAGGTAAAATATGACTAAAATAAAGCAAATACCAATTTTGAACATCATGTAGACTGTCAGAATTTGAAATGGCATTGGCATATGGACAAGAGTATTATTCAAGAAAAATTCATTTTAGCTCTGGAATTCATTTTATAGGAATTAGAAAGTATGTGAAAATTGGAAATAGTATATTACTTAAATCCAAGCCCAATCAAGACCCTGATAATCACATGTACTGTAAGTTGCAATGATAGCACATTATCATAGTTTTGTCCAATACATCAAATTGCACTGCCTTATCAGTATAGCAACATGTGAAAGGCTAATCATAATGTAAGCCAATTAACCTCAATGGAAGATACTGCCAAGTAGGGGATTGCAGCCAAAGATTGCCATCTGATGTGTAAAAGTGTGTAAAAAGTGAGCTCCTTACATAAAAACTGCCCAGCAGCTCAGCTGGCAAGAGCAGCTGTAATTAAAGTCAGGCAATAAAAATAAATCCATACCCAGAGAGCATGTAGGTTGTCCTTCATCAAAGTGCCATACCTTATTGGTGTTTACTTTGAAGGAAATCTTTCATTTGCTGGTAATGGTTTTTTCTTTTTGAATGTGTAGGGGATCTGTCTTGACGTTATGAATCTTGAAACAAGTTCTCAGGATATTAACATTCTATTCATTGTAATTTTGAAATCACTCATATATAGGATGACTTAATGAATGATGAAGTCTAGACATGCATGCTGAGAAAAGCAGGTTTTCCCCCAAATTTTGGATTCTTCCTTGCATTTTTGCTCTTTCACTGGGATAAATATTCAATGGGTAGTTTTGTAAATGTGGTTAACATGATAAAAAACAGAGATTGGTAGATATAATTCCCCCTCTGCAGAATATGGGTATATATTTGGGTCACCTGTGTTTAGATGCTTGGATGATGAAACGGAACCCCTCACATTCAGAAAAATATTTAATATATTGTGAATGTGCATCTCTTTTACTGTGAATGTAATGAAGCTATTTTAGATATTGTAGCAGTTAGCCACATAAGCTCAGTGTTTTCTTTTTTAAATAGCATGTAAAACACTTATGATTAAATCATCAAATTTTGCAACCATTTTCCATCAAAATAAAGTAGCTTACTGTTGAAACTGTAGCTCTAGCTCAAATAATTGTCTATTGGAATAATGAAATAGATGCTTTTGGCTTTGTTCTTAAGAGACACTTTATGCATATGTTTTTGGCTTTGTTCTTAAGAGACGCTTTATGGGATCACATGACTACTACAATAATTGCCAGGGGGAAATGACAACTCATCTACTGAAAACATCAACATTGAAGCCAGTAATAATGTTGTAAATTATTTCCACTTTGATTCTTTACCATCGGTGCCTTATCAATTGGAAGTATAAGAATGTAATTGTTTAGCTAAAGGATGGGTAGTGTGGTCTATTAATTTAAATTTAAATTAATCAATTTGGTATTCTGGTAGGGAAGTCATGTTCAAATTAAATCACCATTTTCACTCAATAATCTTATTTAGTATCTTAGAATTTAGAATGTTCAGATTTATTTTAAGGAATGGCATAATAAAATTGTAATTACTGCACTAAGGTACTAAATATGTTTATAATTTTCGAGATGGACCATGGCTGTCAGTTTCTACAAGATGTAAATTATTTTAACCCAAACTCCATCCTTTTCATGCATGTGACATCATAACATATGTATAAAAGGAGAAGGCTTTGCATTGTACTGCTACAACACAGCTTTCACCATTTTGCAAGACAGTATCAGATAAATCTCAATCACTCTCTGAAAGCTTGTCTCTGCATTATCAGCCAAAATCTGCTGACAGAGTATTAGGGTTTAATAGGATGAAAGACAATACTATAGAATGTGTGTCTATCAGTTGAAAATGATTGCTTGTTTCTTCCTTAAATTCTTAGCAGACCTATCCTGCCTCATATAACAAATCTTATAGTAGTTTGAAGTTCAGATAAAGGCAAATACAAGAGCTTCTTTTTTTGTTAACAACACATTTCCTATTTGGTCTTCAGAGTTAAAGGAATTTGATTTGCTCTCAATGCTGATTTTCACTTTTTGGAGATTTCTTGATTAGCATTCTGTTGACTTGCACAATTATAAAATATTTTTCTAATCTATAATTGTAATAAAATTATAAAATATAATTACCCATATTCTATTTTTAAAGTAAATATATTCAATGTAAAATCCAAAATTACTTTTGGAAAAACAAAGAATAATTTACTTCTTGCTTCTTATTTTTTGTTTATCCGATGTGTTTCCTCATTTGAATGCTTATCTTGAAAAAGATGGGGGGAAAGTTAGGATTAAAGGAACTGATCATTTGAAAAGAAAAGTATCCTAAATTATAGGATGCATAGTCTGCTTTCTTTTCTCTAGTTATTTCAGATTCAACATTCCTAAATGCTGATAACTTTTTTGCCTTTGCTTTTTATAGGTTTTTCTTCTGAAACAGTAACAGTAGCTGATGTCCCTGAATGTGAACCAGTTGAAGAAACTCCATTGCCCCCTCCATCCCACTCATTTTCTACAGTTTTTGATGAAGACAAGCCAATTGCTAGCAGTGGAACTTACAACCTAGACTTTGATAGCATTGAAGTTGTAGATTCCTTACAAGCTGTGGAACCAATCTCCCTGGACACAAAGAGTCGGGATTCTAAGTCACATGTTAGAAGAAAATCCACAGATTCTGTTCCAGTTTCTCGATCTACACTATCTCGTTCCCTTAGCTTGCAAGCTGGAGAATTTGATGGAGCCTCTTTTCCTGGGAGTAACGAGACAGCAGGTTCTGCAACAGATACTTTTAGTACTGGTTCAAGCAGTGCTTCTAGTACTCTTAAGCGCACAAAAAAACCTAGGCCAGCTTCCTTAAAGAAAAAGCAAGTAGCAAAAAAGTCCTTAGATGTTTCTCCAGTAGAAGAACCAGGAATATTAGACTTCAAGCAAGATTCTTCTGCCTTAAGTGATGAAAAAGTTTCCAAAGAAACTTTGGAGCCTACTGAACCCGACTGTACCAACCAACAGCACCAAAGCACTGTCAATAAAGACGAGGCCACTCCTGAACTAGAGACATTGAGTCCATTTGACAACAACTCAGAAGAAATTCCTGTATCAGGAGATAGCAAAGTACAAAACTCTCCGCTTGCCAACAAGAAAACTGTATCTCTTACCACAACACCAGAAGCTGTGGAGGTGACACCATCAGACACTGGGGGACAAGAAGATCCCTCAGTGAAAGGCTTAGCAGTCAGATTGGAATTTGATTACTCTGAGGAAAAAGGCAGTGGTGAGGAACAGACAGAGAGTCCTCTTCTGCCCAAAAAAGTGGGCAAAAAACCTGGGGCCAAAATGCCCCTCAGAAGGCCAAAGACTAAAAAAATTGGAGAGAAACTTGACAATACTCCCACAAGCCCAACCAAGACTCCTTCTGAACCCAGTGAGATTCCTGCCTCCAAGGGCTCATATACTTTTGATATTGACAAATGGGATGACCCCAACTTCAATCCTTTCTCTTCCACTTGCAAAATGCAAGACTCTCCAAAACTTCCTCAGCAAACCACCACAACGTACAATTTTGATCCAGAAATGTCTGAGGATTCTCTCAATCCAGTCAAGCCTTCCGCAAAAGTTGCCAATTCTCCCACACAACCTCCAGCATCCTTTGAGATTTCAGCTAATGTCAGCGAAATTAATGGACCGGAAGGAGATGGCCTAAATAAACCTGCAAAAAAGAAGAAGACGCCACTCAAGACGTAAGTCAACATGTAGAAAAGCGTGTGTGTAGTACTCTAAAAAAAATTATCTGACAAATCTTTGCAAGCTCCCTTAAATTTCTGTATTGGCGATATGTTTATTGTATATGTTTGCTGTAGTACATCTTACCCAACTGAATTGTAATGCCAGAATAATTACATTACTGCATGGGATTAAATTATTTCCCTTTTGGTTCTAAGGTATACTAGAACTTTAAACCTTTGTTTAATTCTGAACATTTAGAAAGTAAGCTTTAATTTTGATGAATATATGGTGTGATCTTTTGCTTCAGAGTATAAGAATCTTGCTGATTCCTAGGACATGAGATTTAAAACATTTGGCAAAAGTTTTTTTCTGTTTCAAAGATAGAAGAGCAATCTGACCCTCATTTTAGAAGGAATGTATTTTGGAAAAAAAGTAGGGTTTCTTATGGTATTCTATCATGACATGGTGTTGTTGTTCTTTAACATAAAATGTAAATATATTTTATAATACAAGTTATCAGTTTAATTCAGTCAAATAATAACAAACTCTTGTCAGGATTAAGAGACTACTCTGCAAAGTGTTTATCATGATGTTACAGTTTATACAAAGTTCAAAATGACAGCAGGTATTCAGATGCTTAAAAGGTGGTCTTCAGAGTATGTTGGTCCATTATAGTGGCTAGTTTGCAAACCAGCCACAAATGCTATTCCTTTGTGTGTGTGAGGGGCCAGAGTTGGGCAAATAAATAAATTCATTTAACAAATAAATATGAAATAAATATTTTTACTTTCTAAAAGTAGATTCTGGATACAGGACAGGACTGGATACAGGAAAGGAGGATAGGTGCCAATAGGTTTCTCTTCAACTATGTTGATTTATTAATGTTGTTTTGTCTGCTTATGATTTAAATTGGTTGTGAGAATGGGGAATTAGATAGCATACATCTTACAAATTGTATTGCTTGCTATGAATTTCAGCCACAGTTAACTCTGCATTTCTCGTATGTGGAATTCACCCATAAGCAAATTCTTCCAGTAGATAAATCTAATAATTTCCAAATGTGGTGTATTCTTGAAAAATATATTGTTCAACTTTTCCTTAAATATTCCTTTTTCTTTTTCTTTAAGGCTAATCTATACAGGTAATCCTTGATTTATGACCACAATTGAGCTCAAAATTCATGTTGTTAAATGAGGATGTTAAGTGAGTTTTGCCCTATTTTACAACTTTTCTTGCCACGGTTGTTAAGCAAATCTGGCTCCTGATTCACTTTACTTGTCAGAATGCTGCAAAAGGTGATCACATGACCATGGCACCCTGCAGTCATCATAAATATGAATCAGTTGCGAAGCGTCTGAATTTTGATCATGTTTCCATGGGGATGCCTAATGCAGGGGCGTCAAACTTGTGGTGTCATGTTACATGATGTATTGTGACTTTCCCCCCCTTCGTTAAAATGGGGGTGGGGGTGGCCAGCGCATGACATCTGGCCCGTGAGCCACAAGTTTCACACACCTGTGAAAAATGGTCATGTCACTTTTTTCAGTGCCATTGTAACTTTGAACACTCACTAAACAAATTGTTGAGGACTACCTGTAGTGAACTTTAGTATGCCCATAGTTTGGTGGTAAAATGGGGTGATAATTTGTTGTTGTTTTTGTTGATTATTCTAATTTGGTGTAAGTCATCTCTGACAGAGAGCCAGTTTGGTGTAGTGTGTAAAGAACCAGGCTAGAAACCAGGAAACCATGAGTTCTACTCCTGCTTTAGGCACAAAGCCAGATGGGTGACCCCTGGGCCAGTTACTCTCAGGCCTAGGAAGCCGACAGTGAAATCTTGTCAAAAAAAATTAAAGGGACTTCTCCAGGCAGTTGAGTCAACACTGATTTGAAGGTGTGAATGTACACACTTCTAATTATATCCTGTGATATTTTTAAAGTGACATACTGACTTTCCTAAGCATGACTTTTCAAAACACCATATAGTTTTTAACTTGAAAATATTGTTACAATTTTTCTGTCTAGAACTTTAGATTCTTTCTTAAAATTATTAGAATGTAAATGTTTACTTGGATTGATTATGATTAATGCAAAGTAGCATTAGTGGATACTAACCATCACCAGTAGGTTGGTTGTAACTTAGCACACACTCAGAGCTGAAATATAAACTCTGAAGTAAATGAAACAAACATATATACCCATGTCACTTAGGTTCAAAAGCACAATGGTTAGAACGCAATATTGCAGGCTAACTCACTGCTCACTCCAGGAGTTCTATTCCAAACAGCTCAAGGTTGACTCAGCCTTCCATCCTTCTGAGGTCAGTAAAATGAGGACCCAGATTGTTGGGGGCAATATGTGGAGTCTGTAAACTGCTTAGAGAGGGCTGTAAAGCACTGTGAAACAGTATATAAATCTAACTGCTACTGCTACATTTAATTAAAAATATACAGCATATTAGTTCTACTTCCAGTTCGAAATAAAAAAGAATTTTAAACAAATTACCAGATAAATTGGATATCTGGAAATAAGTAAAAACCCAACTTTCAACTTGGGTTAATAGTGGAACACTAAACAGGATTATCAAATTGGCCATAACTAGTATTTTTATTTCCTTATTAATTTCTACTTATAGTGGTATTTTGGAATGATTCTGCAATATTCTGTTTACAGTTAGCTGCAAATGAATGTACTTAAATTCATGCAACAAATTAGCCGTGAAATAATAAGCAATTAATTTTTATACTCTAGGTTATTACTGAAAGAATGAAATGTGATTATAAATCCCTGAATAACATCAGTGAGGCCACAAATGGGATTCAGCACCGAAGCATTTAGAAACATTTTTATGTTGTGAAAATATACAATCTGAACAATTGTTTTACTTGGAGAGACAGGAAGCAAAACTGCTCACATCTATTCTTTTTGAATGTCCAATTGAATCCTTTGGATTGAAACATGCTGGAATTTGGTCACTAGATTCTGCAAGAAAAACGTGAAAGTATGCAATCTTAAATATTTAATATTTATTAATTTATAAATATGAAATAACATTTAAATAATTTAAATCCCATGTAGGATTAACTCAGAATTTTGTTGAGCAGAAAAAGTTCAGTTGTCAGTATTCAGGACTCCATTTATTTTTGGGGTATGTGTGATTGAACTTGTTGAAATGGAGTATGTAAAAATTTACTGTAAGTTTTAAAAATATGAGGTATGCTTCCTAAAGTAGGGGAAGGTTTTCCTTCTCTTTTTTATATATTTCATTAATTAATAATATATAAGGTATTTCACCATTTTTCATTACCACTCCAAGACAGTATAGACAGATTCCTGTTTAGCTACATCATGGATGCAACCTTATATCTTAGATCAGTATTTTCAAACTTAGCAAATTTAAGATGCATAGACTTTGACCCCTGGAATTTCCCCAAGCAGCACGATCTCTCTGGCAGGAGCAAACTGGGGTTGGAGCATCCATCTTAGCTTCCTTGGACTGTCAGCAGTGTTTCAGTTCTATTTTGGACCAACTGAAGGGCTAGGGAAGCGGTATATGATGCTACATGGCTCTTCTTTCTCCAATTCCAATCAGTGTTGATAGGAAGGGAGAAATATGACCCAATATCCCTTCCATAAAGATTGTTTCAGTCCTCTCCCCCACTCCTGCTTACCTTCTACATTAAACCTTTGAGTAAGGTTATACATTAGACTATGGGGTAAAGAACAGGCTTGAACTCAATCTTAGCAAAGCTGAATGGTTGTAGGTTGAAGACCCTCTCCCCTTGATCTGTGGCACCTTCTGGACTCATGACTTCTCTTCAAACAATAGGTGGTAGCTGCAGCTAGGAGAGCCTATGCATTGTTTCACCGTATGTCCCAATTGTACCCTTTCCTGGATAGGAGCACTGCTCACTGTCATTCATGCTGAGGCCATCTCTCAAATGGATTGCACCATTGTGTTTTATATGTGATGCCCATAGATAACACCCAGAAGCTGTAACTGATCCAGAACATGGTCCCATGGGCAGCTATGTACCTTAGTGAGTACCAGCACCTTGGTATACTCCTGCTATACCAAAATTGCACTGCTTTCCATAGCTTCTGAAGTAAATTCAACATGTTGGTTACCATCTATAAAATCCTTCATGGCATGGGGCAAGGTTATTTTACAGCCTTTTACAACCTTTCCTGCCACCGTTGTTAAGTGAATCAGCACGGGTTAAATTAGTGTCACGGTTGTTCAGTGAATTTGGCTTCTCCATGGACTTCGATTGTCAGGTCGCAAAAGGGGATCACTTGACCCCGGGACACTGCAGCTGTCATAAATGTGAGTCAGTTGCTAAGCGTCTGAATTTTACTCACGTGCCCATGGGGATGTTGCAACTGTCGTACATGTGAAAAACAGTCATAACTCACTTTTTTCAGTGCTGCTGTAACTTTGAATGGTCACTAAACAAATGATTGTAAGTTGAGGACTACCTGCACTCAGCAGTAACTTCACGTGGTGTTCTTGACTCGGGAGCACACTTCTTCCTGAGATTTATTTTGCCCAGAGCCTACTAGAATTTTGTAAATCCTTGAAGCATTGCACTGCGCAGTTCAGTGTTCTATCAATGTGATTATGTGTTTTATGTGGTCTAAGTTAGATTATTCTTGGCACCGTTACGTTATTATTTTTAAGCATCTTATATTTCTATGTGTTGGCTTTTTAATCCTATTTTTTTGCCACTCACAATTGTGAGATGGGTGACTATATAAACCATTATGATAAACTAATTAAAAATTGTGTCCAATATTTGGAGACATGTCCATTAAAAAAAACAAAAAAACAGAAACATGGGATGCGATTTCCCCCACACACATAAATGGAAATTCTCCTTTGTGTCAGTGAGTTCCTTCTGTCTTGTCTCTCTCTTTTGTCTTATTTGTCTTAGGATGGTTGAAGATGTGATGTCTGTATGTTCTCTGTTGTAAGTAACTTTTAACCCTAAACATACCTGTTATCAGTAGAAATGCCTCATGTTTTTTGTCCTGTCTACATGTTTATGTATTGTTTTGCCTTGTTTCAGTCTTGTTTAGTTGTTTATTTTTACAAGTTTGCTTGCAGTGATATCCAGTAATGTAGGTCATGATACCTATATTCATTAAGATTATTTTGACTTGCATCAAGATTATTTTGAGTGGGGGGGGAAAGGCTGATCAGTACATAAAGATGAGCAAAACTATTTCTTGATCAATCTATCATCTGTCTGTCTGTCTGTGTCTATCTGTCTAATGTTCTGCAATTAAGTCTTCAGGTGGCAATTTCCACTCTCACTTTCCATATTGTTCTCCGTGCCTGCTTGAGTGGCATGCATGCATCATAAAGTCTGGTTACCAGAAGATGAAGCGTGAAACCATAATAACCCATTTCTCTTTTGATTATATGGTTTAGCATGGGTTTGGCAACATTTCACAGTATTATAGATGAAAACAGCTATTTTCCTTCGATAATACACTTGTTAATGCAATGTAGTTATATTGTAATTTATTTTCTAAATAAGATACAGCCAGCCAGCATGTTTCTCAATGTGTTTCAACAATTAGTTAAGATACAGATAGTCCTTGGTTTACAAATGGTTGCTTAGTGACCAATCAAAGTTCTGACAGACCTATCTGAGGGAGGGTACTTATGACCTGGATTTGAACTTCTGATGGTCAGGCCCCCCTGCAGCCTTATGACTGCACTAGGTACTCAGCAGCTGGACTGCATTTATGGCCATGAGCAACATCTCATGGCCACGTGACTGCATTTTACAACAGTTTTGCTGAAAACAGGCATTTCTTTGTGAACTACTGGTTCACTTAATGGCCAAGGTTTTGCTTAACCTCTGTAGATTCATTTAACAGCCATGGTGAGTTGCTTAAGACCATTGCAAAAAAGGGTTGTTGTAAAATTGGTTTGGTCATGTGACTGATTTGCTTTATGATTGTCATGAGTTATGAGCATGATAGATGGGCTCCATTTTGGTTGTAATTCAAGGACTACCTGTACTGATATATTTTACATAAATCAACTCATTTTTGCTTTAGCTCCTTTATGGGGTTTGTTGTTGTTTTTTTGCCATTTCAGAAATAGTTGCAACATAGCTATAATATTTGAAAATCTTATTCTCATACAATTGCTCTCCACCAAAACATAATATCAATAACTTTTAACTAAGTTTATTTCACATTTCTTTAAGATCTCTCTGTATAGTTCTTTTTCCACCTGAAATTTGATCTACCTTAGAAATTCCCAAGCAGTGAGGGATGGTAGTAATTTTGGGAATATTGTTGAGAGTATATGATGGGACAGTCAAATAATGGCTGCCAAGGGAAAGTTGTCTATTCACAAAAAGGCCATCCAATTAATCAAATAAATGTTACTGAGCATGCTCATCATATTTCTTGCTACCTTGCAACTCATTTTTATTCTTTCTTTGAACTCTTGATCTTATTCGACAAGCAAAGAATATAATTGTGGCAACCCATCGTTTTTATTTTCTAAAAAAGATCTAATCTGGAATCATTCTTGGAAATACAGTTTTAAAGGCCTGGGTATTTTTTTTCAATGTGCCAGTTTCCTCAGTATTTTTTAATATGAAGACCAGTACTATCATCAGTGCCATCATAATTTTTCCCAAAAAAATTTAAATTAGGAAAATGAGATCAGCAAGAAACCAATTTATTTATTGACACATTAATGACTATAGCATCATATTTTATTTTTATATCCTATTCAAATATTTTAATGCTTTTGGAATATAAATGTTTATAGTATAACCATAAGAAAACAAAAAGGATATAGATACCAACAAGTTAAACATGCTTATTGTAAGATTTAATAAATTATCAGGCAGTATTGCAGCTAGCAATAGTTAGAAGATAAGATCAAGGCATAAACCCTTGTCCCATATCTGCCTTGCTCAAATTGTGTGGTCTTGTTCATTGGTATTTTGCATGCATTTTGCTCATTCATCATTTGTTTGGCAATTAGGAAGTAGGATACCTGAGATGATAGTTTGGTAGATAAAATTGAAGACATTTTCACAACACTTACATACCAGTAGCTATGTTGGTGTTGTATTTGATAAGCAGTGATATCCTCGTAGATCTCAGGACAACAACTTATCCTGATCAAGATTCTTATTTACTGAATTATATTATGTTGGCCATTCTCCAGTAGTACTGTAACCATGTATCTCATTATCTGGATTGTCTTTGTACCTTAATCTAAAACTCAGTTTAACTTAATTCTTTTAATTATCTTATGTTTGAATTTTAATTTGGAAAAGACTGAGTCTAAGAGTGCATGGTAAGCCAAAGACATAGCATGCTCTTCTTTGATATTTACATGCTAAGTTTCTGAAACAGGCAATCTTCATCATAATATATTCATTAGCTGTTTCTTATTATGTCATTTTTCTTGGTTAGCCATACTCAAGAGTTTCCATTTTCTTTCCAGTGATACTTTTAGGGTGAAAAAGTCACCAAAAAGATCTCCACTATCTGATGCACCTTCACAGGTAAGGACCTTCAACAAACTTTTTAAAAAGAATTTTTAAGGTACATTCAGTATTAATTAATTATCTACTTTTTAATTATCTTGCAAAAAAAAAAGGAGGCAGCTCAGATGCTAGATTGAAAATCTTCCCATAGTTAATATTATAGAGCCAGCACAATAAGGAGAAAATAAATAATCATGACATAAAACGAAGGATCAAATGGGCAAGCATCAAGTAAATGTTAGATCACATACAACTAATGTTTAGGAGGATTTGAAAATTAGCCATTTTTTTTTTTAGAAATGTTGAAATTGTTCAAGCCTTCATTTCCATGAAAGTTGATATTTTTAAGTACTATGGTAATATTTATCTAGAATGATTGGGTGAACTCCAAAGCTCCGTCTCAGTCTGGGGTTCTTATAAACCAATATGTATTTGTTAAAATTTTGCAATAAAATCTATGTAAACTAATCATTAAGGAACTAGGACTAATAGAACATAAAACACTCGATTTAATCCATCACTAGATCTATACTAATTAAGGCAGTGATTTTCAGATCCCTGAAATAGATCAAATGTCACTCTTCTAACATTTTAAAATGAAGAACCCAAGACCTAATTATGAATTAGAATAACTTGCATAGTGTAAAAAAGAGTTTCAGAACTCAGGTGGAGAAGTAAAGTGGTTCTTCTCCTACACCTACAACCATCTACATTTAGTCAAACTCTTAAGAGTGCTGGATCCATGAAAGAAGACAATTGTTTAACCTTTATTTTCTTCTTAGGAATCTATGGCACTGCCTACTACTGAAACGCCCTCTGTTGTATCCACTGTGGTACATGCAACAGATGAAGAAAAACTGGCATCTTCTGTGGGTAATCAGAAATGGACTTGTATGACCGTGGATCTTGATAAGCAGGATTATCCTCAGCCATCAGATCTCTCAACATTTGTAAATGAAACAAAGTTCAGCTCCCCTACAGAAGGTAAACTGGGAAAAGAAAATAGAATCGCTGTTTTATTTGACAAGGGAAATATTGGCCCAGAATAACGAGAAACAAAGGATATCATTGCTATCAGTAGTTACTTACTAGTCCATTTAATTAGACATTAATTATTTGTTTTGAAGTTATGTATAACATTTATTGGCTACCCATCTTGCCATAAGATAACTCATCCACTAGATTCTGGGTAGTTTAATTTAGTGTTACATTGACAATTTTAACTTATCAAGTTAAACAGGCTATAGAAATTGGTATAAGTAAAAAAAAAAAAATCAAATAAATTTGAAATAAGAACTCTCCTCCCTACCATAAAAGAATATTGAAATAATTCAAAGTAGTAATTCAATGCCTGGTGGAAAAGAAGTGCCTTCAATATTTTGAGGGGAATGCCAAAAGTACATGTTCTCTTTATTATTAGAGAAGATAGGACCGTAAGTGTAATAATTGATATAATACTGCATAGACAGTAAGCATTTTGTGACCAAATAGCATAATATATTTGCATTTTCTCTGAGATCAACATTTCTGCCATTTTTCTTATATAGGTTAAAATGTTTCCTTAAGTCTAATGGCTCTGTTTTGCTCTTACTTCCTACAGTCCCAGCGAACTCTTTGGCTTTAGGGTACATCTAGGAGAAGAAGTGCCAGGTAGTAGTAAAAAAACAACGAAGAGCATTTAAAATAATCATATGAAACAGCATTGAACTTGCTAATAGAACATTAATTTTAACAGTGACTTAACCTACAAGAATCAAATATCTTGAGGAAAAAGATCATTTCTGACTAATATCATAATAAGATGTTGAGGATTAAATATAGTGAGAGATTTTACATGGGATTTTTGTGAAGATACTAGTTAAAAGACAACTACCTAATATTTAAAGGAAATAGTATCCTTTCTTGAGAGAACCATCCTATTAGAATTGTAATTTCTATTTGAGGCTAGCACATTATGGTTCAATACCTACTCATCTATGAGTCACAGAGTGACCTTAGTCTAATCACCTTTGTATAGATATACCTGCCATGGCAGCTAATTGTAAGAATAATATTGCAACAAGAAAAAAGGAATATGTATTCTACCTTGAAATTCCTGAAAACAGGCTGGAATAAAAATGAAATAATTAGAGTGTGGTAGTTATGGAACATAAGTAAGATTGCAACAATAGTTTAAATCTTGTTTAAATCTTGTTTAAACAAGATTTCCAGTCAAAGGTACATCATTATATTGATAACATGGGATTTAAGGTCAATGCAGGCTGGCATTTAACCTCAATATAAATACTAATTTATACTTGTGTTACTTGTGGCTCAGATTGCCTATTAATTATGGTAGTGTTTCCTCTGTGGAGGTTTTTTAAACATAATCATACCTTCCCCCTGGAATTTCCTATGGGCTTCATTTGGAGACTGCAGAGTAATTAAAGCATTCTGAGAATTTGCACTACTTTCTCTTGTTAGCTGAATACTGAGATAAGGAAGAATGCCAATTAGCAAAGAAAGAAGCTCAAGGTGACTATGTTATAATTAAATATTGAAACTAACACCCAAATATCTCAGAGGTCCTGTTTATACCTTTGCTAATTCATTAGAATTCTTTCTTGACTTGCTCCTCAATATAATGAATAATTTTTCAGTTAATTATATTAAAATTTTTAATTTAATATAAAAATTTAATATAAAATTAAATTTTATATTATATAAAATTATATAATTTTGTTTTGAATTGCTAGCTTGCATAATATTTGCAAATGTTGAGGGTTAAACATTTATCAGCCCTAGTTTCTAAAATTCAACTGTACTTATGGTAAACATTTCGGTATATATCTAGAGAACAAAAAGCTTCATATGCCTATGGTCAACTTTTCCCACCTTGAAGCTATGTAGGTTTTCTGGACAACAGTTCCCATGATTCTCAATCAGCTGCTCTCAGTTGTCAGGTGGGAAAGTTCAGGTCCACGCATGAAGGTCCAATTAAACTGAATTATCGCTGTATAGGAGTCCTCTCAAACAATGATTAGCACCTGCTTGGAGTTAGATAAGGGCACACAGAATTTGGGTAGGGGGGATATTAGTCTGATTGTGACTATGTAGGGATTCTAGGTTGATGCCTCTTTTAACTCCACCTTCAGCTTCTGTCATTTTTTCTCCTACACAGTGGATTTATGGGTTAGAATGAAACCCATTTGGAGTCCCTCCCCCAATTCCCTGGCTGGAAAAACTTGTCTTTTCCAATAAACATTGCCAATAGAAATAAAAATTGTGCGTGGGCAAATTACTCCAGAGTGTGCTTGTTTTTAATTAATTTTCATCTTAAATTCATTTGTATTGTTAATTTTATTATTCCATTACTATTAGGAACATGTCTATATGTTTGGAAGAGCAGATTTTGTTTTTGTTTTTAAGTTGATTTAAATTATAGAAAGCAGCTATTTTTATTTTATTATTAAATTAGTCAGGATTTAACTAGCAACAATTGGTGTAAGATATTTAACTGATACCATGTTTGCATTTAAATATTCCAGAAATATTTCATCTGGCATATTAAAAGAGAATAAGGAATAGTACATTTTCACACTAACAAATGCTACAATTAACACATTTTTCTGTGATTATGGCAGGATTTGCTTATAGCATTCTTTCAATTAACCAATATAGTTTTATGGAAGAATATGTAGAAATGTTACACAAACAGAATCACCCAGAGCTCTATAGGCTATCTATTTCACTCCTTTCTACATATAAACCACACATAGAAGGATTTATCATGTTATCCATAGAATATTCTCCCTCAACAAAAGAGAATGAGGAAGTGATGATACTTGAAAAGTAAACTTATTAGATTGCAATCCCAGGTATTTTCTTGAAACAGGTTTATGCTGATGATGATTAAATACATGGTTAAGGTAAAAATCATAAGGAGTAAGATTAGATTTACTCTGAATTCTTAAAATACTGCCATAAAACATTACATAATACAAATATAATAATGATTTCAATTTGTTCTTTTCTCAACATATCTTTTAAAAAAGGAAGACATTTCTTACCTCCATGACACTTTTCATTTTAAATGTAGATAACATGTGATTTCAGCTAAATGCATTTCCAAACAATGATTTAAACTGGTTGAAGTCATTTGTATATGTACATGGTCGTCTGCCTCATAGGACTACCTTTGCCTAAAAATGAGCTCTTTTCCTATCTTTTAAATGTTAAGTCCTTTTATTTTCAGCTGCAGTTACTTATTTTAAGTAAGAAAGGTTAAACACTCAGATCAGGGGATGGAAGTAGAGATAGCACACAGGCAGGTTCATGACAGTTCAAAGTAGAAAAATGGGAGTATAATTTCCATCAAAAACCAGACTCATAACTGGAAAGTTTAACCCTTCCCCTGGTGTACAATATCCTGCCTAGCCAGGTTTTTTGAGGGGGAGGGGGACGATATTTGTTTGTTAGATAGTAGGGGAGACAAGCATATTTTTTTTTGCATGAAGTTTTTTATTTTATAACATAAAAATTTCATGTTTGGTTAAACAGTTTGTTGTTTGGGTATAAATAATTTTATGAAATAATCATCAAAGTCTTTACAACAATATTAATTATATCTTCATTCTATCACAATGATCATAATACTGATATTTGCTTATACATTTTAACAAGCCTCCCTTTTTTCATTGTTCCTTTTCTTATATTTCCATATTTCTAACTTCTGTTTTTGTCAGCTAACCATTGATAAAATAAATCCCAGGTCAAAAGGTATTCAGTTTCTTCCTTTTCTTTAATTGTAAGTGTTAATCTATCCATTTCTGCTCATTCTAATATTTTTTTAATCACATTTTCATCTGTAGGGATCTCTTCGCTTTTCCAATGTTGTGCAATACTATTCTGGCTGCAATCAATATATGTAAAATCAAATATGTATTCCCTTTGTTATACTTATCTGGTAACATGCCCAACAAAAATATTTCTGGTTTTAAATCAATACGTTGCTTTACCATTTTTTCCAACCATGTATGTATTTTTGTCCAATCTTTTTTTGCCTTTGGGCAGACAGGCATTTTTGTATGGAAGAAAGCAGTTGGGTAGAATGATCTCAAAGAAAGAGAGCAAGGGCAGGATAACATTTGAGCATCCATCCCCTTTTGCCCACTGAATCCTCACCAGGCTGATTTCCTGTTCAAATGTTCAGCAGCAGTGGAAGCTGCCTAGATTTCTCCTACCATAAACCACTGAATGCTGCTGAATATCAGATTTCTAAGCAAATGCTTAGAGTAGCAGCATTCTTCTCTCACAGGGGAGGACTTTCTTGTGTTTAATTGAACTTAATGCTCCTGGATGTTCTCATAACTGTTTCTGGAAACAGAAGCAGAAGTACAAAATAGGCATACAATCTGGCAATTCCAGATGGTGCTACTTTTTCTTCTTCTTCCAGTAATGAAAGAGATTGTTTAAATAATGAGAGCAGATCCATGTTGGGAAGAAAGAAATAATTCTGGAAAAGGCATCAACACTTTTTCCTTTACAGATAAAGGATACCCTAGCTTTGATTTATTAAAAATATTTATTAAAAATATTTTTGGAGGGGTAGTATTTTCTTACACCTCGTGAAATAATAAAGGATGTAGTAGTCTTTTCCCATATAAATATATACCTCATCCATGAATAAAAGATGCATTATCATATTAAGTAGGACTTTTTGACAATTCAGCAGCTTATAAATATGATTTTCCAGTTGAACAACTAGTACTTAAAAATTACCTTAGCTATATATTAATAGTTTAAAAATTCTTAGGTATTTATGGTAGGTTTTTTTTTAAATCACCCTTGGGTTAATTTGACAAAAAGTAAATGAAGAAGAAATGAAGAACACGCATTTAGTATAAGGGCCAAAATTATAATTGGAATGAACAAACTTTAGTCCTAGTTTATGCTTTCAAACTGTGACTTGGCCAAAAATCTTTATTCAGCATGTTCTGGGTTATAATTTATTACTCTGATTTTAATGTCTAGGGAATGTATGCTGTCCACAAGAAAACATTTTTCCTTTCCTTACTAAAGACATTTTACATTGTATTTCAGAGCTGGAATATGGCAACACATATGAAATAGAATACATGGAAAAAATCGGTTCTTCCATAGCTGTAAGTTTCTACTCGTGGATTTCTTGTTTTCTCTTACAGTATTTCTCTATGGTATATATAGAGAAAAGCCACAGTGCTTCCAATTCAAATGCATGCAGAACAGCTAAAATGTTTGCCAATTTTGCCAATTTATTCTGTAATTACTTTGATATACCTGAATTTTGGGAATTACTTTTAACATATGTTGCATGATATAACATGACAGGGTAATTAGGAGATGTTTCAGGTAAAGATGCATAGTAACATAGTTCTTACATTTTCTTTGACACAAGGATGATGATGGCCAAACAAAGCAATCTTTGTACCTTATGTTCAATGCTCAGCAAGAGAGTCCAATCAAGTCTCCTCCAGCCCGTTTATCAGATTCTACAACTCCTTGTTCTGGGTACTTTTTTCCATTATCTATTAAACCTGTTTTAAGAAATATGGAATAATCAGAGCTAGAAATAGTTTTTCTTGACGTTTTTGTGTTGTCCCACATACTGCATGATAGTGTGATAAATTATTTAATTGGGTGTGTTTTGGAATGGCATAGAATAAAATCAGTTAACATTTAATATGACATTACCCAATTAATGTCAGAGAAGAGAAAATGGCAACTTAAAATAATTCATAAAGAGATTGATACCTACAACTTCAAACATCTAATAATTGCTGTATCCATTTATAGTAGTAAGGCTGGCAAATATGGATTTAACAATAGTATAAACTAAAAAGTAAAATATTGCATTGTAATTACGATATAGAATTTAACCATATTGTTCTCTTACCTCATAAGTCTGTCATTCAGATGCTGGAATAAGGCCCTGTGTTATGCCAGTCTGTCAGCTTTGGAAGCCATATTAGAACCAAAGCTTCCACACTGCCACATTCTTGTGCTTGGGAAATTGGGGGGGGGGGGGATTTCATAGAGCGTATGTAGTTAGACATAATAGCATTCTTCTTTACAGTCAAGGTCATGTTATTCCTACACCTGAGTGAGGAGTGTTTAAGGGATGTCTCAATTTGAGACGGATGGTGATTGGGGCATGTGATGGAATGATGGGTACAGGGGGTGGATTTTGTGATTTTTAATTATTGAAGGAAAACCCGGAACTCTCAGATTCGGGTTTTCCCAGATGTGCCAGTATGACTTTTCAAATAAAAAGAAACTTTGAGAAAATGCCTGTCTCAGAGTTTTTGACTGGAGTTTGGTTTTGCTGGAACACTGACACAGTCATTTTAAACAAATGCTAATTTTAAATAGAAATACTAACCGTAATCTTGAGACCTAAGACTGAGATATAGCGAAAGAATATGTAGGTGGTTTGGCAATCAGTGAATGTATTATGTTAGCCAGTTCAGAAACATAATATTCTCTTTCCTGTAGGTCAAGTCTGGAAGAAACAGAAAGCCAGCTTCCCTGTAATATAAAACTACAGCACCCAGCTTCACGATCCCTGGTAGCTAACCAAGAATCATCAGTACAGTCCTCTGATAAAACAAAAGAACTGGAATCTGTGTCTATAGGAAGTGCTTCAGACAACATAGTAAGTTGGTAGGAACATAGTAAGAGTTTGGAACATGTCTTCATTGAGTATGTAGCTTGACTGTAAAGCAAGCTTGCTGTAGATGATAGGTCTGAAACTGTTTGACCCAATTACTCCTTTTCCCAATCTTAAATAATATTGTTGCCCCCCACATTCCTTCCCACCAACCCCCCCCCCCAAAAAAATTCTGTTGTTCTGTGCAAACAACTTGGCAGTGTCAAACTGGATCCTCAACATATTAACTAGCAATTACAAAGAATTGTAAAGCCTTACTCTGGACATGCCCTTCTGTTCTAGATTATAAGAGTGGGGAAATGGCCCGGGGCCATTTCTTAGAAAATATTTTAAAAAATATTCTCCCTGCTCTGATAGACTTGTGCAAATCCCATCTCTTGTTTTCTGCATATCTGAAACAAACAAACAAATAGATAATAGAACACTAGTTCCCAAAAAAGTTTTCCAGCTATAGTTTGGGAAACTCTGTGATGGACTGATTTTTCCAAGTCTGGTTGGGATTTGTGGTCCTTACACATCTACTGAAATATATTCTGTGGTATTCAATTTCCCTTTTTTTTTTCTTGCCAGATCTCAAGTTTTTATGATCCAATTGAAAAAAATATGTATTTTACTTCAGATTTGGTTGGCATTTGCCATATATTTACAGGAGCTAATGAGCAGTTTTAATTATGAATAGTTCTCTCAATTTCTTTATCTTTCTTACTCTTCAGATCAGTCCTGAAGATACCTATGTTTCCGCTGATGCTCTCCTTAGTAGGATATCTCATCCGTCTTCAGTATGTGATCAGCTTCAGTATCTGGAGCCTGACTTAGCGGAAAAGAATCCCCCGGTATTTGCTCAGAAACTTCAGGTTTGTAATCCAGATTTGTTTGTGTTCCTTATGAATGTTCTGGTGTGAGAAGGGAAGATTTCTAAAGTGTAGCGAAACTCTGCCATTAAAAAAAAACCCTAAAAATTGTTCTCATTCTCATTTTCTCTCTCTCTCACGCACACACACACACAAACACACATTAACATATTGAATTAGCTTATTTCCAAAGAAAAGGTGAGTGTATAATATATTTATTTTATATAGTTTCACATAGTTACATCTTCCTTTCCAATAATTCAGTATCTGCTATGTGAATGGTCTGTCTACATCTTTACAGTATATTCATTTCATCTACCCAGCTCTTCTGGTCATGACAGATGATTAGAGATTCATTCACGATGCTGCATCTGCCATCTTGCTGATTTTGACATGCCCTTTTCCCCTCTCCCTCCCCTTGTCAGCTATAACTAAACAATATTAACTGTAATATTAACTATAAACCTTTCTAAAATCATTTTGGTGACATTTCACTAATACTAAACATTCAATATGTAGTTTATAGCCATAGCTCAGGTATGTGTAATGAGCTCCCTGAAAAACAAATGCACATCAGAAAGGGTTTTATTAATTTAATGAAAAAATTAAGAGAGATAGTTGCAGCTTGAATGTTAAATATTTCATGTCATTTCTCTTAAATCCTGCATCACAATGAGCTGTAATGTAACTCTCTTAGTTGTATTGTTGTATTGGTAGCTCAGCCATTGTGGTTTCTTCAGTCATTGGTAGTTAAAAAACATCATGGCCTAGAAGAGTATATGGCCCTCAGCCAATATGTATGCAATATCCTAAAACAATATTCTAAAATGGTCCTAATGTATTCTGTAAGTATGGGCATTTGTATTTGCATTATGCTTAATGGATTTTCCCTGTACATTGTCACTACCATCTCACTGGCAGGAGGAATTAGAATTTGCTGCAATGAGGATAGAAGCCCTGAAGCTAGCCAAACAAATTACCTTGTCTTCTTTCAACTCCTTAGATACTGAGGTATCTCCTGTGCCTGCAGTTTGTGTGCTTAAAAACTGTGTTGCTGCTTTCACTTTAACAATAAGTTTTTCTGAATGGTGATGCTGGATGATTTTGGTTCATTGCTACGTAGAAAGATAGAAAAGAGCATGTGGAAGTTCCCTTTCTCTAATCTCAGATGTGGTTGCATTCCACTTTGCAAATATGTTTCAAAAATGACTATCACATGATGTGGTGGCGCAGTGATTAGAATGCAGTATTGCAGGCTAATTCTGCTGACTGCCAGCAGTTTGGCATTCGATTTTGACCGGTTCACGGTTGACTCAGCCTTCCATCCTTCTGAGGTTGGTAAAATGAGGATTGTTTGGGGCAAGATGCTGACTTAGATGTAAACTGCTTAGAGAGGGCTGTAAAGCACTGTGAAGCAGTATATAAATCTAAGTGCTACTGCTATTGATCACAGGAATACATTTGGCTGCCATTTTCTTATACAAACCTGTGATTTTCACAGTTTAATGTTTTGATACATACTGGAAATGTAAATGAGCTTGGTGATTTCTTTAGAAGGACATGGAAAAGACACTGTGTATGTTATGAAGAATACACAGAGTTTGGAGAGTGCCAGAAACGCATGCAATCTTAGAAGAATTGGATGAATATATGAGAAATATTCACAGTTGTGTGATGTATATTACTGTATATCCAAAAATTGAGTATGGCAAGAATTCAGAAAACTGTTCTGTCGGATTTTTTTATTCTTTTCTAAATACAACAATTCACCAAATTGGGGATACTCACTACTATAGCATGTTATTGCTTGAAAACTGGCTTTATCTGCAGGGATTGAGAAGTAAAAACTGGTACCACCTAGTTTAAGAAATGGATGGGTTTGGATCCAGGATTTTCTTCCCACAGTTTCTTCCCAACTTCTCCCATCTGCAGAAGATGGGAAATGTTAGATCTTTTTGATCTAACAAAGTTCTTATTTCCTCCTGTAATCCCCCATGCCCTTTCAAAATATTTCCTATATGGTTGTTGGCCACATAAAATTCAGTGAGATATAGTCCTGCAAAAGAATGGGTGATTAAGCAAGCTACATCTATCTCTTCCCATTGGCTGGCCCAAACGAAATTGCATCTAGAATTGTTGCCATGGGGGATGGGATGGACTTTAATCATTGTCTAAATTGTCCAAAACTGCAATAAAGAGCTTTAGTCATAGGCAAGAAAATAAATGGTGTCTATATAGTCAAACAGAACCTGCAAACTGAGGTATCCCTTTGTTGACAAACTCTGAGAGGTCAAAATTGCACACTGCATACAAGAAACTACAAATGCCAGGATTCCTATCTCTCTCCCCTCCCCCCTTTGTGTTTGTGTGTGTGTGTTAGAAATTGTCTGAAGATGATGGTTTTGCTCTGTAGGCAACAATCCACATCTCAATTGTCTAAGTCAGTGGTCGGGGAACAGGGGTAAATTACCCCAAATGGGGTAAAACTGAAAATCCTGGGGGTAATGAGGACGGTCGCGCTGGCGCGACCATTCTCATTACCCCCAGGCATTTTATTTCCGACATTCTGTTCACCTTCGGTGAATGCTGCTGGGATCGGGAATCAAGGACACAAATGAGAGAAGGGGAGGGAGGAAGCAACGGAAGCCTGTCCTGCTCTCTGGCTCAGCAGCTTCGGTTTCCTCCCGCCTCATTCCTCTCTCAGTCGCTCTCTCGCTCGTCCACCAGCCCAGGAAGAAACTGCTTCAAAGAAGCAGGGGGGGTGGCTTTTCCTGTCGGCGCAGCTCCTCCGAAGCACCCGTTTTTACCCCCACCCCGCCGCCAATCAATCCAATCAATTCTGCCTGCCTGCCTGCCTGCCTTCGTTTCTGGTAGTTTCGGAGCAGCTTCGGCTGAGAATAATAACTATTCGCCTCTTTTTCTCAGCCGAAGCTGCTCCGAAACTACCAGAAACGAAGGCAGGCAGGCAGAACGGAGCACTGGATTGAACCGCGGGCGGCGGGGCGGGGCGGGGCGGGGCGGGGGTGAACGGGCGCTTTGGGGAAGCTGCGCCGACAGGAAAAGCCACCCTGCCGGCTTCTTTGAAGCAGTTTTTTCCTGGGCTGGTGAGTGAGAGAGCGACTGAGAGAGAAACGAGGCAGACACCTGAGGGATGGGGCTGAGGGAGGGAGGGAGACACCTGAGGGATGGGGCTGAGGGAGGGAGGGAGACACCTGAGGGATGAGGCTGAGGGAGGGAGGGAGACACCTGAGGGATGGGGCTGATGAAGGCAGGGCCGAGAGGCGAGGCTTCTCAGCCGTCCTGCAGGGACTATCTGTCGCTCAGGGTTGCAATGAGGAGGCATTGGCGTTCCCTGAACTTGGTGGTTTGCTGGCAGACGTTTTATTACCCGACTAGGTAACAACATCAGATGTTACCTAGTCAGATAATGAAACGTCTGCAAGCAAACCACCAAACTCGGACTCTCTTCCCC